GTTCTTTAACACGTGCAATATTTCTCTAACTAAAAGTATTGTGTAAAAAATAGTAAGTTATCTCACCTTCAAGATAAATGTCGCATGAATGTCAAAACTAAGCTTCGTCTAAACCACTTACTGTCTCTATGAGAAGACGCAATATTCACGATATCCGCGCGCTAAAGAAAACCACAAATGGATAGAAGATCCTTTCTTTTTTTCAAAAAATGATCGACTCATCATACCAATTAAAACTATACTTGTTATTAAACGAAATATATATATGTATATATTAAGAATACGAGAGAGATACACAAACCGATAGAATAGGAGAGAAAGAGAATGAAATAGAAAGAAAACGATTTTGTGCACACGTATAGACGCTATGTCATATTCTGTGTTGACTTTATTCCGCAACGACGTAAACTGCATTTATTTTATTTCAAATAGTAGCAAGTATGTAGGCCAAAAATGTTGTGAACTTGCTAGTTATTCGCAATACAGAATTAAACTCTATGAAACTGATGTTTATTGTTGCCTATGCGAGCATCTTCTTGGTCTGTCGAGTATTTTAAAAATGTGCGTTTTTTGTGAAGGAAACTATTCCAGTGTCACTATATGTTTTACACGAAATCAAGATTTCATCAGTACAACAAAAAGATTTTATTCAGTACCTTTTGCCAGTGTAAAAAAGTGAAAATGTAATGTATCTTCTGGTTGACTTGTTCTATATCTATAATTGAATTCACTTATTTATCGCTTATGAAATTCTTTTTTTTTTCGAGACTTTTGATTCTTCATAATAACGAGACGATTATAACGTTGAATTTGCTTAATACCATTTTCCGTTTCCATCTCCAATTATAAAACAATCGATGTATACCTATGAATAAAATCTTTCTTATTCTTTTTATTCTGTTTCTGTTTCTCTTTGTGATAATAACACTTAGACAACATCGAATATGAGCACCTTCTCAAGTTAATAGATCACTTTTAAGTGGTGTAACATACGCAAGTCAACTATTGAATAAATATAGCCAAACTACAACAGTTTTATGAGAAAAAAAATTTTTAGACTAATAAACGGAAGAGTATCAGATGCACAGGAAGGCGGAACATGTATGTTGGATGCGCTTTTTTGGACTGCCATATATGGGCACGAGATACCAGAAGGTCACGTTTCATTCATTTATGATCATGTAGACATATTTTGAAGATGCTTACGACTGAGTCAAGAATGTGATCTGAACTATAATTTCTTGGTTTTTATTGAAGAAAAAAACAAGAGAAAAATATCTAATGACAACTAGAATATATTTCTAAACAACGTTTGAATACGCGAAAATGTATCTAAAACGTTACATAATGAACAGAAACTTATTAAAACGGTTTATAACTGGACAACAATGCAGTTAATATTAACAAGTACTAGTGTACTTATATCACATATCATCTCGTTATAACGCGTTCAACAAGTTTTTGTTCATCGTATACTGTTTGCAACACATTGTCACATATTTGACCATTATATGGTAACCGTGTAGTAGTAAATGCATTGTTTCACTTTATCCTCGATTCTCGTGCAGAAACTTAATCTCATTATTTTCAAATGAATTTTACTTGTATAGTGAGCAAAATATATCTATACTTATTCTGATACTTTTGACAATAAGTCAATATAAACTATTTTCTTTTCTTCTCCTCAGTTCTTTTTCTTTATTTTAGTTTCATTTTATTTTGCTTGTTTGTTCGTCTTATACACCAGTTGTATTTTTCTTCGTATTTCTATATTAAGAAGTTGAAACGACAAGACATCAAGTAAGATTTTCTTCAGAATATCTTCTGTTGATACTTCCTATATAAAAACGACTGTATTTCGCACACGGAGAGAGAAAAAGAGTATAAAAGTGAATCTGAACAATTTGATATCTCATGAATTTTAGTGTTTCTATTGTAAGGCATTCATTTCCAAATAATTAAATCAGAAATGATGCGTCGACTTTTAGCGTCCAGATGCAATTGAAATCGTAAATTTCGATATGTAAAACATTTTACTTGATTAAGACTAGTTGTTCGAGAAGTGAACTTTAGCCATGACCTATTTTAGCTATCAAAGAGCATGTGCCTTTAATAACATTCTCTTCTTCTGTGTTTCTTGAAGAATAAATTCCTGGTGAAACTTCTTATAAGCAAGATCTTGAACATCTTGAAATTTCTTGAGTTCTTGTACTTATTGATAATTCCTGAATCGCTATTTTGTTTCGCATTCTTGCTTAATATAACCGCGCAGATTTTCATACTTAAAATAACTTCGAAATTTTTCCTTTCGTGGACACAAACTATTCATGAATGAGTCGGTGATCACATATAATTATATGTCTAACGGTGATGGTTGACATATAGGAAAGAAAATGTAAAAAGCTTTCCATTGCAATACTTTAAAACATTATGAATCGATTCACTCAAGATCTTGAAATTTCTGTCTCAAGATTTTACAAGAAGTTTCACTAGGGACGGACGATCGTAAATTGAATGACACTTTCAACATTTACAGATCGTCATGTATTATGAAAAGTATTTCTTAGAAATGTTTCAAATAGGATGTTCTTTCAAATCGCCGGCAAATTCAGATAAGGTAATTATCCAAATGAAGTTGAAACTCTTAAAATTCTATCAGCTATATTCGCACATGTATTAATTTTGTTGAGATCACGAGTTTGTATTAGTTTAATGAGATCACGACGACTCTCATGGTAGCAGCTGGTTTGTGGTACAATCGCCGCATTATTACCAATGAAAAATGGTAACGTTGACAAGTTCATTAGTGTAATATGTTAATAATTAGTAGAAAAGCGTATATATTTCATTAATGTTACATTTGCATAATAAGTAATTGGATTAAGTTTTTGAGACTTTTGCTTTCTTCTCTCTTCTCTCTTATTTAATTAAACAATGGTATCAAAATATTATTTCCTCAGGTTACAGGTAGATTAGATGTCATAGATTTAAATCTTCTCATATTCTTTATGGAAAATGAATTTCTGTTTTTCGTATTATATTACGTATTATTTACTTATAAAAAGATTTTGCAGAAAGATAGGAGTATATATATCGAATTCTAAAACTACAGATCATAAAAGAACTTCGTATTACTAGTTACTTTTTCTACTTTTAAGCGCATTTCACTAAGACATGTGCGTTAATGATTTAAAAATAGAAAAAATATGTCAAAAAATTGAGAGAAGGTCAATTATATAAAATGAACAATAATAAAAATTGTTACATCTATTTCTGAAGGACATAAAGTAAAAGGTAAAAATATGAGATGAAAGTGTTCAAATATTCAGACATGTTTAAATTTACCGATGTAAATTGTTTCAAAAGAAAATTTATCGTCTTTTTGATTTGCATATAAATGTACGTTAGATTTTGTTTTATTATAGTCCCGGTGTTAAGTACTCAGATACAAATAAATATAGACAGTTAATAATGCGAATCTATCCCGATTTTTCTTCTCTCCCTCCCACTATCTCGCATTTTTTTCCATCGCAGAAAAACAATCGTCTCTTTTTGCTCTTAGATTTTTTTCTAATGCTTAAAAATATAACCATACTTAACTTTTTGTGATTTTGATATGATATAAAACTAAAAGAAAATATATGAGTGTTAACGGCACATTAATTTTTGTATAGGGAGAAAAATAGTTCTTCTCATTTTGATCAGCTTATTTTGATCAGCAAACAACTAAGTTACTGGAATAGATTTTGCACCGTATATATTGTTTTTTATTATTGTATACTGAATAAATCTCAAACTTGCTTATTCAAACCCGTGGTGAAAACATCGGTTAGTACTTTGTTGTTATTGTATAAACTAAGTTTGAATTATAAGAAAAAAAAAAAGGGAAATCTAAGATGTTAATCAAAGATTCTTCTTAAGATAACGCAAGTCCTTTAAACATCATCATATACTTTTCTTTTTTCAAATCTGATTTTATATCGAAGAAGATAAAAGAGAAACAAAGTAGACTTTCAATCGATGAGATCTTGTCATCAAAAAAATTATATATAAAAAGAATTGAGATGAGAACTTTTCAAAATATCAAATTTCTTTCTTATTGAAACAATTTTTTGAAATTATTTTTGATGGAAATTATAAATTTGATATTATTTTTGACTGGTAAGCCTTTTCTGTATCGTACTGAGAAACTGAAGTATAATAGACTCAAACTCAAAGCATCGAAATGACGAATTGTAACTTTTCGTTTAGTCTCAAAAAGTTTTTTAGTCTTTTACTCATATTTTAGTCATTTTTAATTAGAGACAAATGGTTTTGTTTAGGTAGTTGGATCTCACTCTATCAGTGGAGCATTTCAACTAAATTCAAAAGTAGACGTTTTGTACTTTCAATAGTACAATAAACGTATACCAATAATATAAGAAATTCTTTTAATAGATCTTTTATCCGAAGTGTCAGTACTCATTTTTAGATATAAGAGTAGTTTTTATTTACTCTAACTACCATTTAGTTTCTCTCGTGTTTTTTGTACGTCATAAAAATGATTGAGTTATTTATAATGTGTAAAGAATAAAAGTGATTGTGAAAAAGATTTTGTTGTTTTCATTCTTTCTATAATCCATTAGTTATGATGATGATTTTTCTAAATAGATTTTCTTAATGTACATTTTAAACTAATTTAGTGTTCATATCACGCGATAATTCCAACTGGGTACATGCATGTAATTGTGTATGATGTAGAAGATTTTTTTTCTTTTTTTTTATTTCTTCTTTCTTTCTATTGTTTTATTATCCTAATCCAACTTAATATCATGCCATCTTCGATTAGTGATAAATATTGATAAAAAAAACAAAAAAATAAACAGAGAATACAATAAATATTTGATATATACCTGTAGAATTAAGTAAAGGGAAGAAATGAAAATTTATCTAATTTCAGGTTTTTAATACAAGCAGTCACACTTCTAGGTAAAAACAGCGTTGTGATATGCAACAAGGAAATGATGAGTTGTACATTTACATTAGCAAATCTAACTGATATTAATTTTACACAACCAGGTACTATCCTTTTTAGTAGAATGATGAATATAGAATCAAAATAGTCAAATGTTTTTTAGGTAGTTACTGTCCCGCACAATCAGATGGTGGTTGTTGGCCACCTACAAAGTTAAATCATACAGCAACAATTGCATGTCCACCGTCGATACAAGGTGTCGATCGATCAAGTGGGTAAAACTTTGAAGAAAACTAAAGGAAACATGGTCGTGTGACCAAATGATTTTACATTTAATTCAATATTCAAGCATACTGTTGATAAATAAAATATTCGTGGCCACTCACGTGATAATCTTCAACGAATTTCTAGACGTCGAACTCTAGAGAACAAAAACAATTTGAAAATGAAAATTTTTCTAAGATTATCGTTTGATGAGCGTGTCAAGTTATCTGTGTTTTCTTATTTTGAACCTTATTAAATAATTATAAACAATATGAAATAACATTACATAATTGCTTGCGTGATTCTAAAAAAAGTTCTATACTATACATTTGTTTTGATCAATAAGATTTCCACCTTATAAGTGCACTTTTTATATTCAAAAAATTTCATATGCTCTTAAAAATGGTGATCTTAGAAAATATATTTTATTTTTAAAACTTTTTGATTCTCTAAAGTTCGACTTCGAGGAATTTGCTCAAAGTTGTCACATGAACGACAACAGATAGCATGTTCGAGTGTTGTGTTTAGCATAAAAATTGTTTGATCATTTGAAACTGTTCCCTCATAAGTCTTGAATAAAAAATTGTGTCATATTTTAGAGTTTGCACTTCGTGAATGTTTATTAACGGGTAAATGGGATAGAATTCAGTATAAGCCATGTTTTTATCCAGATGTGTGGGAATTAATGAATAAATATTATGTAAACAAGTCACCAGGAGAGAGACAAGTAAATAAGAGACATACGTTCAACCTGATTTATATAATTTACAGAATATTTTCTTTAGGCTTATACAGATGTATTACAAGCGGTGAGAATTATTGAAATGGTTGGATTATCAGTATCATTTATTAGTGTTATTCTTTCATTGTGTATATTCTGTTGTCTGAAGTGAGTGAATATGTTGTAATTTGAATTATTTTTTTAGTTAAATTATTTTTCTATATGTCTAAAGATTACTGTATTATTTATTTAGGTCATTGTATTGTAGTCGTACAAAAATTCATATTAACTTATTACTTGCTATATTACTGCAGATAGTTGCCAGAATAATTAATTACGGGTATAGACCTCGTCAGTATTTATGCATGCTGCGTTGACTCTTATTATTATTCATATTCTAGAATTCAAATGAAATATTCTCAAGGTGATAATAGACGTATGCAGAAGGATCAGCTCGCTGTTGAATTACCAAAATATATTGTATGCATCTTATATTATTAATATTTTTTCTATAATGAATAATTATTGTATTATTCATCATTTTCAGGTTTTAATTTGTCCTTTTATTGTTATTGGTTTACAATTTGGTATAAGTGCTATGTTTATGTGGATGTTATGTGAAGGGGTACATTTAAATAATGTTTTAACCGTATCCGTATTTAAAAATAAACTGAGAACACTATATTTTCATTTACTTGGATGGGGTAAATTAACAATGACACTTTTTCTAATTTGCTTCGATTTACTAAATTGTTTCGTTTTCGTTTAGGTGTACCATTTTGTTTGACATTGAGTTGGAGTATAGTAATGTTTTTCAAACAACGTGATCGTCAATGTTGGTCAAACTATAATTATTTGCCCTACTATTGGATAATCGATGGTCCACGTTATGCTGTTATGATTGTAGGTTTGTTTGAAGTATACACATTTTAATATATTACACAGTTAATCTGATATTGTTTTAGATTAATTTTATATTTTTGCTCAATATTATTCGCGTTTTGATTGTTAAAATCAAAGAAGGATCAGAAAAACAAATAAGAGAAAAGTATTGTTGTACTACTGTTGTGAAAATGTGCAAAACATGACAATTATACAAAGAGTCACTTGATAACAAAATTTAGTTACCACCGTTATTCAATTGTTTAAATGCACATTTTCATAACTGTTTTGATACTGTGTAACTTGTATGAAGCATGTGTCTATTTAGCGTTCAAAGGCGGGGCTCCATTAGTACCAGATTTGTTAGGTAAAACTAGTATTATTGATGTATAAAACTTTTACTATAAGTCATATGGTTATTTTTAGAAAAGCCGTCAAAGCAGCCATATTTTTGTTACCATTATTGGGCATCACTCATATGTTAGAAACATTTGTGACACCTGGTCAGTATTTTTGTCACTATTTATCATTAATATAAAAAAATTTCTTATCATTGTCTATTTCAATTTTAGATGATCAATCTATAGTATTGTTTGCCATTTATTTTTCTGTTACTTATTTTATGTCAACGTTTCAAGGATTTTTTTGTTCATTGCTGTATTGTTTTCTAAATACAGAAGTAAACTCTTGAAATTCATTAATATAATACTACGAAATATGTTTATACTAATATTTAGGTTCGTGAAACAATTTCTCGTCGTTTACAAACAACTCAATTTTGGTCTAGATGGAAATCATGTTTACGAAATAAAGATCGAAATGATAGAGAACGAACAAGAATGGAATCATTATTACCCCAATCATCACCTTCAGTATGTATGGAAATAGAGAATTTTGAGTTTATCAGTAATCCTATCCTAATAATTATTACAGTTTATTTATAAAAATTTAACGTTGAGAGAATATTGTATGATTTATTTTTTGTTTAGAAAAAAACTCATATAGAACTTAATGATCGACTGGATGGTGAAAATAATATGACTAAACCCATTCTTCAACAAGAACAATTAACTCATATCGTCTCAAATGGACAATCGCCGACTATTCAATGTTAAGTTTTTAAATATTTTCTCATTTATATTTTTTTATCTCATCTCAGTGTGGCTGTGTGCGTTTGTACTGTTTGCTCTTCATATTATTTTTAACGAAAAAAAAAGATTTTCAAATTTTCTGTGATTGTGCTGTTACTTTTTTTTCGTGCTTTCTTCGCTATTTGAATTTTGTGACCTGGGTGAACACGAACATATTTCTAAGAGATATGAGCAGTGTGCATAAAATGGATTAATACATGATTTTTTAGAAAAACAAATATAAGTTGAGTATCTGTTACGGATAATTTCGATGTGAGACGATGGATATCATCATCATTCTAATCTCTAGACTATACCCACGATCATAGGAACATGACAGTCACCATAGAACTATGACTAGTTGGGCTGATATGACTAATACTAGCTATGTAGGAATGTGTACAATACAATAGTTAGCACTGTTGATAATAGACATAAAATAACATCGATGAATTCCAGCAAAGGCTCATTAGTTTTTGTTTAATGGAATAAATTGTTGTATTTGCTTGACTTTTAAGTGATCGATGATAAATTAACATAAAATACTGTTTGTTTGAAACATGCTTCGTTATAAATACACTCTAATCTCGTTTAGAATGCAGAAAAATAATTACATGAAAACCTTGGTTCCAAAAACATAGTTTATGAATCGTTAACACTATTTTACAAGTTAATTTGTTAGATGACGTGAAATGAAACAAAAACATGTATTATCAGTAAGAATACGATAATACTATTTGTTATAAATGAATTAGCAAACCATAATATTTGGACTGTAAGCAATTATTTTGAATTGTAATAATGATTGCACTGTGAACGTGTGTGCATGAGAATAATAGCAAAATAATACCAAAGCAACTCATACCAGCGTAAATACAATGATATAAGATCATTTCTCTATAATACCAGTTATAATCTTTGAAAAATAGGTTAAGAGCTAGTATGTACACAGTGGATATGCGATCTCCGTTGGGAAAATGATGAAAACAGTTAAGAATGGTGATTTGTAACAGAATAAGATCCTTACATATTTATTCATTAATTATTTGTAGGCAACGTACTTTTCAAAAAATCGCTCTCCAAATTGTATATTCGTCTACGACAAAGCAGAATATCGGACAAGATAGTCACGAATGTTGCATCTTCTGAAACCAAAAAATGATTATATGTAAGCATCAAAAACAGATATCAATAATTAAATGACTCTGTATATCGAAAAAGCGACAGAAAGAGTAGACAAATCTTACTTAATAAATATGCTGCTTCCACTGTGATCATCTGTTTGCTTGAATATCCTCGATGCTGATGTCTAAATTTTCGAAGAAAGAAGGTTTATTTGTATGTATTAAATGGGCAAACGGGATGAAAGGGGGTGAAAGCGTTGAGAGATATGTGAAAATGAATCAAAATAAGATAGTAATGGTATTTTTGTTGCAAATTGAGGGTAAGATATTACTACATACATACATTTATGTTTTCTCAGACATTTCCTAGCACTAATCATTTAAAAATTATATCAGAGATTTATCTTACTCAAAATTGCCGAAGCATAATGGTTACATATATGTGCGTTAATACTAGTACAGTAGAAAGACGAAGTTCGCTTGCCTATATTGAACAAGCTCAAACTATAGAAAACAAAAACTTGGTTCTGTGAGAACCAAGCCCAGATAAGCATAAAAAGATGGTGAGGATTTAACGCTTGAATAAAACCTAACATAATATCAAATGCAAGATAGTCCATCTTAAAATGTTCTATCTTAGATAGAAGAACATTTTATTACACAACTAGTCTTCAGCAAAAAAAACGTGTAGTGTAGCGCCAAATCAAAATCACACTAAGTTGATTATTTTAATTTCTGTACTCGCAAGTGCATTCTGTCTTAGAACTTCGATGTAGCCTTCACTCAAGTAAATAACTGTTTACTCGACAATATAGAGGTTTTCCATTGCTTTTGTATTGTGTGCCACGACTTACCAATCACGGACCATACGAAGAATGCTTTCATTGCACTATCTACGATATAATGAAAAAGCCGTTAACGGATTTTTCCATTAAGGATTGATCAATTAAGCTCCGTGATTATTCGATTTTTTCGTGCTAAAAATAGAAAAAAATCTTTCTAATCTTATCAATATGTAGAGCAGTGTCTCTAACAGCAAAGCGTTTATACGCTTGGGAATTCAAAAATACGCTGTTTTACCCTTTGCTCTCGCTGTTTATTGTCTGTTGCCTAATAGAACTTTTTTATATTTAAGAGATGATAAAAAAAACTATTTTAACTAGTTTCTATTTTTCTCTTCTAATTCCTGATGCTTATTTGATGCTTTCTTTTTTCGATTTGAAAGGTGTACGCTTTGCGCAAAAAAAAAAGAAGAGTGTCTGCATACGCTGGAGGTTGGAAAAACAAAGTACTCGTACGCTCAGCGGATAAATTCTGTTAGAAACATTAACGCAGAGTTCTTCATGTCATAAGAAAACTAATAAAAATTTGTTCGATATATCATGTTTTGCACAGGGATGTAAAAGTTTATATTTTCAATTTTGAATCATACAATCATCATTTTTCAACTCACAAATTTCACTCCTCTATTGCTCACTGTTGTTGTTAATACGGCGTTCAAAATGGATTTATTTAGACAAAAGGCGTACTACGCTGTGAACGAGGTAGAAGGAGATGAACTGCATCGTAAACTGTTTTCAGTCAGTTTCGAACCTAAAAAATAAGCCCTATCTTTTTTAAGTCTAATTGAAAACATTTATTTGAATGTTGAAACTAATGTTTTGTTTTTCGTTGATTTTCAATAGTACTGTTGTTATGTTGTAGATGTATATTTGAGCTTTCCTGCTCTTTTTTATTTTGTTTGAGAGTTGTTTTCTGTTCTTTCATCGTCGATGAACTGACATGACAACTCAGAGGCCGAGTCTTTCAAGAACACCGATTCCATCCACCCAGAATGCTAATTCCATTACTTCTGATCCAGTTGTATCATCTGAAGATTTTCTAAAACGTTTAAGAGAATTTCATAGATGCAGAGGGTACGTTTTTTTCTTCACTGTCACGGGATTCAACTGTATTGCTTTTTTTTTTCTAGCACATTGTTTCGTTTTTTGCCTACTATTGCGGGTGTCGTTGTTGATTTACAATCACTTTATCAAGCAGTTGTATCAAATGGAGGATGGGAAAAAGTAAGAGGGATAATCTGTTTATCTAGAATCTTCTGAACCCTGTCAATCTAATATATTTTGTCTAGTACCAGCATTAAATGGGTGTATCGGCAGGTTTAATTCTTAATAATACATATTAGCGATATTTCTATCTAAATAATAAAAAAATTTCATATTCCCATGCAGTCTTTTAACCTTAGTCTCTACCAGATATGTTAGATTTTTGCAGTGTTTATCGTTGTTTTTAGGTCAATGATAAACAGTTATGGTCGATTATAGCTAAACAGTTTAATATCGAAACATCTTGTTTAAATGGGACGCAAGCATTAAAAAATATTTATATACGGTAGGGCTAAGACTTCTTTCATTCTAACAATTTTACCATATCTCTTTTGTAGGTATTTGTATGTGTATGAAAAGATCAGTAATGGTGAGAATGTTGATGCACATGATGAAGACGATGAAGATTCAAAACGGCGAACTGTGTCTCATCTACAACGAGTACCACATTCATATAACCATCAACAACATAATGTCGCAGGTAGTAGAACTCTAAATTTTAATAACACAAATGGATCACTATAGTTTTTTAATGATACTTCACAAAATAATATTAACATTGTTATTTAGAATGAAAGACCTTTTCTTTCTAAATTACTAAATTTTCATTTTATTTCTTTTTTGTAGATTCAGCTCGTGTACAACAGGGTTTATTTCGTGAATTTGTTAAACGTAGTGAATATGAAAAACTAGAATTATCTCTTTTATCCGGCTTTCCGAACGAGCTCACATTTACTTTGAATACTCTTTTACTTTTATCATCGAATGATCATCAGCATCCGCAACAACAACGTTATCCACAACTTCGATTGTATAAATGTCCACGCATCTTAGATATCCTGTTTCATCATATGGGCTTATTTCTATCCGAAAATTCGAATTCTCATTTACAATTATTGTACGAAAATATTTGGAGTAAACATGTAAATTATCATTTACGATCGTATTGGTTTCGATATTGTCCGAAAGAAATTGTCACACAAATTTTAGGCAAAGGTATAAGTACAAACGTGCTTCACAAACCATTTGTTTATAGAACATAACTTTTCTCATGTAGACGACAAAAAATTAGCCGCAGTCACAAATCCGTCCGATGAAAATGGTGAAATTATTTTGTATAATGGCTTCAATGGAAACGCATTTGATGCGGACTTCGATCATGATATATTTGAACAAAATCAAGAATTACGTGTTGAACAAATTTTGATGGTTATTCGTAATTTATCATTTGATCGTGCCAACGCTCAGTATCTATTAGCTCAAACAAGAAATAATCAAAAATTACATATGATTTATCAATTTTTACTATTGACAGCGTATTGTGAACGAAAAGAAATACAAAAATATGCCTTTGATATTATAACAAATCTAGCTCAATTAATTAATCTTAAACATTTAGAACAAATAAATGAAAATATACTCAAATTATTTATAGGTACAGTTTCTGCTAGAGTAGTCGGATATTCACTTTTAATGTTCAGGCGATAAGTCTTCAATATACCACTTCACTTATCGCTTATCATCTATTTTAGAGTTAATTCGTTCAATGTTATTTGAGAATGATGACCGTTTAAAAATCATTCGGTCATTAGAAATTATTGGTAATTTGACATCGCAAGGCATGTCCAATGAATTATTCTTGTTGGATTATATTGATATTATTGTTAAGAAACTGATTCATATTCCAGATATTCTCATCTTAGTTCATACTTTGGAATGTTTATATCGACTAAGTGAATTAGGTGAACAGGCATGTAATCAGATGTTAAAAGTGGATGTTATTGTAACACTAATTAATCTTTTAACAATCGAAGCAAAAAGTTTTAGTTCACAAACAATAAAAACAATAAAAATTGTTGAAATGTCAGCACAACCGGTGCTTATGCCATACCAACAACCAGTATTAGCTACAAGTAAGTAAGAAACAAGTGCTTTTCATTTTTTAATCGAACATTTCTTGTAGTGAATGGAACAACTCAGCATCAGGTGTCGAATTCAACTATTCTTGTTCAAACTACACAACCTCCGTCTACTCAACAACAACAACAACAACAACAACAGCAGCCTCAGACGGTCACGTATGCTGTCGAAAATACAGAAACAAATAAATCCTATTATGGAACAAATAATAAACTCATTCTTCAGCAACAGCAACAAACACTAGCCAAACCTCCTCCTCCAACTTTACCGTTGCCATCTTCGACAATTATTGGAGTCACAGCATCTGGTAATTTACTATCAGGAAATAACGTTTTTTATCCACCAACTCAAAGTACATCACTACCAAATAATGTTACTCAAGGGCAACAGCAACAGCAGACAACGATCGTGATTAATAATCTACAACAAAAGCAATATGTTGCCGATGAAAGCGCAGAAAAGAAAAGGAAATTGGACTGTAAGTAAAATTTGAACAAAAGAAACGTTAAAAACAGTAGCTGCTCGTTTTTAGCTATATCCGAAACAATTGCATCTGTTGTCAATGGTTATCCATCTTCTCTGTCTCCAACATTTCTTGACACTCAAACTCAACCATCTCCGGCTAAAAAACGATCTCGTTCTAATCGTCAACGACGTAAAAGTAGTGCAAGTAGTAGCACAATAAATGGAAATATCAGTTCGAGTAATAGTAACAGTAATATGAGTCAATCACAGTCGTTCCAATTTCAACAACCAAAACTTGAACCATCTAGTGGTGGTGATGATAGTGAAAATAGTTCAAGTAATCACTCATCGTTTTATGGACAACATATTATTGGACAATCGCCGTTAGTTAACTCATATCAAATGTAAGTGGGACATTAACTGGTCTTGTATTCTTTTGTATTAATTTTGCGTTTTAGATCTCAGCAAAAACCTTCTGCGAAACCTCTATCAACAACAAATGAATCCTTGTCATTAGAAACAAATGATTTGCAAGCACCTACAACAAACATCTTGTGTGATCAGATTTCGAGTATATTACCACCGGAATTATCCATATGTCATATAAATGATACTTCAACAACTCAAATAGTTCACTCAATTGTCTCAGACATTATCGATCAGTGTATACCTCTGACTGATCAAGAAGTAGTTGATATTGTTAAAACAGTTTTATCTGATTTATGTCAACGAATTAGTGAACGACAGATTAATTATAATCAAATACCGTCACCCGTTTTTAAACGAAAAATGGAAACAGATAATAGTAGTGAGCATATTAAATTGAAACGCACTAGAGCATTGAAAGCCGTCAAAAAATTAGATCAAGAATGTAATATCGAATTATATTTTTATACATAAGAAGTTATGAAAAATTCTAATTTTAGATGAAACCATGCCTCCACCTCTACCTGTTCATGATATAAATGGCTTACAACAATCTGAATCAAAGCCAAAGCAACGTACAAGAAATCGTCGCCAAACAATAAAAACTGAAAATCACATCACCTCCGTCACTGTTTATAAAACAGATGAACAACCACATCATCAAATACAAACACCAATTCTTCCTGTTTCCGCGCAGTCGATCCTACCTACCACTAACAATCTGGTTTTTGTTAAAAGCACAGCATCCTTGCCAAATGTACTTACTCCGACACCCGCTCAACCATCAGTTTCATTCCACCCACAGCAACAATTAGTTCAACAGAATGGTGGAATAGAATATCAGTGCGAATGGGAACAGTGTAGAAAGTACGATAATTAATCAATATAACACGTAAAAGTAACATATCGATTTATTTAGATTATTTCCATCTGCACGTAGTGTTTTTCATCATTGTTGTTCTCAACATGTTAAAACTTGTACGGATAATGTTTGTCAATGGCTTGGATGTGATCGAATTAGAAGACAAAAATGGGCACTTATCAGTCACATACAAGTAGATAATTATTTGAAAAATCATCTCTTCTCTACTGTTACATTTTTTCGTTTAGGAACGCCATTGTTCTGAAGCTGCATTTCGACATTCATTTGCTAAGAAACAAAAACAACAAATAACTACCACACCTACAACTGCCACTCCGCCACCGGTGGCAACAACTTCTACCACTGGAGGGCAGATTGTAACCGGTTATGCTCCAGATGCGGCATGGCTAGCAGTGCGAAGACATATGCAAATACCAACGTTTGACGAATTGCCCGTAAGCGATTTCGAACTTTGTAGTTAATTGATGGAGACTAAGTTGCTATTCTTCAATTTTTATAGAAAAATAAAGAAGGCCCATTAACAAAAAGTATAAGATTAACAGCTGCATTAATTCTTAGAAATATTGCACATTATTCAGCCACAGGAAAACAGTAAGTTATTGTGGTAACAGTAAATTAGTCTCAGCTAAACTCAGTAAAAAGTATGTTTTTCGTTATTTATAGAAATCTTCGTCAGTATGAACATATAATAGCAAATTTAGCATTGGACCCATGTGAAGCATCAAATGCATTAACATCTTGTCTGTGGGAATTATACAACTGAATGGTTTTGTTAATTCGTTTTTGTTTTTTTATATATTCAGTGAATATTTCTTTAAAAAAAAATTTGATGATTCAAGTAGGTTTTTGTAAATATCTTTTTTTGTTTTCTTGATTCGAGTTTACATATATATCATTTGTGTAGCTGATGTTCTTGTTTCAGTTTATTTTTTTGTTTTGTTTGATTATCTTTATTTTTTCAACATAGTTCTGTATTTCCTGTTCTATAGAATTTGAAAACAAAATATTTCTATTTGTAAACTATAGATGGGTGATTGATTCGATTTGATTGTTAAAAGAATATAGATGGAAAATGAAAAGACTTAGTGAGAATTAATAACACGTTCTTTCTATATGATTTCTTTTAGTGTAGTTGTAGTGTGTGCTCCTATTGGATGGCATCGGTTATCAGAATCGATCACTTTGATTTGAAATATACCTAACTGTAATGTTCGAATGCTTCAACTCCGTGATCTTACTGATTTCATCATGTACTACCGAGAAATATTTTCTTTGTACACGTAATTCAATCAAAACTTCATCTTGAACGTGGCTACACAAGATGTACTTCGACTGTGTCGAGCAAAACGAATGATTTTCGATCTCATAGTTTTCGAATTATTTCAGAACAATAACAACAGTATTTGATCATTGTTTATGCTTGAGGTAGATAAACATTTTTCAGATCAACAATGTTTGCAATTGAGCTCTTGAAATATGTAAAAAATAGTATCACAATTGCCTTCTGATCATGCGAGTAATGTATTTCATCGAGTAAGTCTTGAAGAAACAATTCGCATTAGAAAAGATCTTAATAAACATTATGTGAATAGGTTAGACCTATGTATGAAATCAACATATCAGTTAAAAGGTGTGTTATTTTCACAGTGCATTAAGATCATTTGATCATTTCTTAATATGTAAATGTGTAAGATCTATCGGTTTAATAGACTATGGAACAAATAGCTACGATCCAATTCATTTGAATATTTTAAAGGGAGTTTTAAGATATTCAAGGGGTGTATTATTATATAACATATTAGTAGTGAATGTTTTGCAAAAAGTGATGAGAAATGCATCATACATGTATAAGCATGTGCTACATATTTGATGTAGTCATGAATATAATATTCAATTCGAAGTACAATATAATTCGGAAAATTATCAATTTTTCTTTACTTTAAAATTCATTAGTTTTAAAGAGCACAAAAAATCAGTAGCCGAGAAAAATATTAAACACTTATTCGTGAAGTTCCGTAAAAGACCAACAGATTACTGTGCACTTTATGAATGAAACCAATCTTGAATATATGTTGAAATACTGCAATTGAAAGTACCTCGCGTATCTTTCTATGACTACTGTCCATTTCAATGAACAATGTACCCGCTTGTAACTTGAATAACTCCGGAACGGAAGCAGCAAGAGATCTGCGGTTTTCGTTGTTGGAAAGAGAAAAGATAACTTTATGCTTTTCCGTAAAATCCAGCGACCTCACACCGATTTTTGGCGCCACCTATCTGTGAAACTTTTAGAAGTACGCTTAGCACCGAAATTTCGTGTAACACAGGAGTGGTGGCTCTTTACTTATTACTCGGTGTTACTTTACCAAGTAAAGTAATAAAAATTTGTTACTTGTTACGGGTAATTAGTAACATCAGATGCTAGTTTATTACTTTGTTACTAGTTACAAGCAACACAGTTGTTACTTGTTAGCTATACATCACGTTAAGGGAAGAGTCATAACTTAAAAGACATCTAATGAAATTCAAAAGTTTTTCTAAACTTTCTAAAACACCTGTTTTCTACAAAAAGTTTGTTCTTTGTTACTTTACCAAAAGTAATAAAGTAACAAATCTTTGTTACTAGCAACAAGTAACAGTTTCGTTACTTGTTACTACTCTCTAAAAAAAGGTATTTTAAAATAAGGAAATGGTATAACCATTTGAACCATATCATAACTGTTTAAACATTTTTTACTTTTATCAGGAAACCTCTTTAGGATTTTTAGAATATGAAAAAGCCGTGATTTAAAAAACTCTGAATTGATTTGATATTTTAAAATACCTGAAAAGTTTTTTTGTGACAGGAAGAAACCTCAGCTGTTTTTCAGAACGTAGTTTAGTCGTATTTTAGAAAACGAAAATTTAGTAAAAAAAATTAGTTTTTTGAGAAGAATAAGAAACTTTTAAACAGTTATGATATGTTTCAAATGCTTAAACCCTTTAAACGTTTTTCACGGGTCGTCATACCTTTTTTTGTTTTTTCTCAAATGGAGAATACTTTTTAGGGTTTTTTGGAATACCTTTATTTTTAGAGTGTAGTAACAGTAATGGTAAACAGCTAGCCCTATTTAGGACTCAATTTAAAGGAATTTAACGCCTTTTGGCTAGAAATGAAGTCTGAAAATGCGTTTTCAAAATTTGTAAGATAGTTTCTTTGAGACATAAAACTCGTTTCGTAGACTGAAGTCGCGAGATTAGGCGTTTCTACATCAAATAAGCGAGTGAAAAACGCGTTTTGAACGCAAATTTCATTATGCGTCGCGTTTTGTGTTTTACACCTGTGAAAAGTTGCGTTTCGAGTTTGAATAACTTTAATTTCTTGCGTTTGTAAAAAGAAGATTTCGTTTTCACTCTCACCGAGTACTAAAACGCAATAAATTCGTTATGTTCTTGTAGGAATTGCGATTTTCGTTTTTCGAAGAAAGTACAATACACTGTTTGTCGCGTCTGAATGAAAGTTACATTCGCTTTTGTCGTTTTTTTGAGATGCGTCTCGAAACTCTTGCGGGTTATATATATCTCAGTCAAAAATAGGTACTTATTTCGGTTTAGAAACATTTTCAAGAATTTCTGAGATTGCTTATGGATTCCTCGCAAAAAGTTGCTTTGTGAAACTTAGCTTTTAACTATATCAGATATACTATTGGAACTCGGATTAGCTCAAGAACCGTGAAAAACGCGAGTTTAGCTTCAAAGTATCGCGTGAAACTCTATTTACAAAAAATTTAGCGCGTTTAACGCAACCTATGATTACCTCAAACACGATTCTCGCGCTCTTTTTTAAACGAATTTCTTACGGTAAATTTTTCGTAAATAGAGTTTCGCGCGATATTTTGAAGCTAAACTCGCGTAAAAACGAATTTTCAAAAGATATAGGTGACTGGGTAGGTATACATTCGATAGAGAAAATTGTTTTCTTTCAATCTACTCGAGGCCGAGCTCTCTAGCTTATGATATTTAGGAGCTATAAGTGTTTTCTTGAGAGCCCCGACTTCGGCCAGCTGACCTTAGGTTAGTCAAAAAAACGTGAAAAGACAGGTAATCGACTACGCTGAGCCGATTGGTGATGTTTATTTTCACTTTTGAAACGATTGAAGTATTAAAGTGAAGATATTCGAAATTTTAACATTTCGACGTTATGAATTTAAAATATTAATGGGAAAATGCGTGACAACACACAGAAAAATGATTATTTCTCCATGGGTTTTGATGTGAAAAATACGAAATGTAGCTAACAAATAGAGCGAAGTCAGAGCTACATAATGGCTGATTCAGGTTTTCTTACTTTCAACATAACACATTAACATACGAGATCGTTTTTGAATCTACAAAGTTTTCAGCTTTTTCGCCTTTCGTATAATTTGCGTAGTTTTCTTGATTGGAGTTTTGAAATTAAAGTTTATGTATGGTTGTGTGGAGTATTTTGCATCTTTTAAGAAAAACACTAATCTTAGGATCTATTCCCAGAAACTCATTCATTATGGCGCACCCGATACTTTTCTGGAACTAAATTGTTCGCGCATTTCTGAGTCATAATTGATGAAATATCTATAACTTTGTCAATAATCCGTTAACCGAAGTGATTTATTCCATAAATTAAAATGGCGGTATCCCTAAGGTTTCTGGGAGAAAACAGCTTGTTAACGATTCCATCTCGATATCACTTGATAGAGCATCATTTCCTGAATCTACAGAGGTGTTTTTCATTTATTTTCCATGCGAACAGGGGATACTGGAGTTTGGAATACCTGTTTTTCACCGAAGGACCAAGTTCCGTAAACGTTTTCTTCCTGAGCCATCTTTTCATTTTGCAGTTTAAAGGCGATATTCGTGATCAGCGTAGTCGACTCTATATGACTAAACATTTAAAGTTGAAAAAAAAGCGATCAAAAGCTTTCCAGAAACCCCTATACCTAAGGCCTTAAAAAGCCGACTGGGAGATTTTGCGAAACCGAGTGCGTGGAAATGTTCCTAGGGATCCCATGACATGGTTCCAATGGGAAAAAGCCGAAAATTTTGGGGGCCGGAAAAGGGCCTGTCCCGTAGTTTTTGCTCAAATTGGAGTAAATTTCCACCAAAATTTCTGAAAGCAGGAGGGGTGTACACTACCCTTACACAAACGGTCGCTCCGTCACTGCCTAATCCGTATCCAAAGAATAAATAAACAAACACAACGTTGAACGATATGTTGTTTTACCATATAAAAGTAAAAACCATATAAAAGTATGGTATCTTAGCCCAAAAGGAAAACTGTTTCTCTTTATGTGTGGTACTTCTTGACTTAAGAATATGAAAGCTGTTTCAGTGCATTAATTAAGAGCTATAGTTTAAAATAGTTTTAAAAGTTAGTGAGTAAACTTTTGGAGGAATGAGAATACTTGCGAATATCTGCGAATACTTCCGAGTATATGAGAATTCCGGAATACGCGAATCCGCCTTTTCCCCCTTGGCCCGGTTCCACATGCGCAAATTTAGTAAACAATGGTTTCAGAAAAAGAGATACCAGCTTAGGGGATGGCCAGCGACTTCCCCTGACGTCAATCCAATAGAAAATTTATGGAATTATATCGATAAAAAATGAACTCATCACCATCCCAGCACAGCAGACGAGCTCGAGGCTATCAAAAACAAATTGTGATCAGAAACCAAGCTTGAAATATGTAATAAACTAGTGGAAAGTATGCCACGACGTCTACAATCGTGTATCCGTGTGAGAGGAGG